CTTTCCTTCCTCTACTTCATCTACTCCCTCTCCCAATCCCTCCCGCATGCCCCTCCCCTCCCCCTCCCCCATGCCCCGTCCCTCGTCCCTCGATCCTGCAACCCCCCATCTCAATGCACCCCCATCCATAACCCGACCACTACCGCCCCCCCGCCTTCCAGAGATCCTGGAAGATGTCCCCCCCTCTGATGACGCCCCACGTGGCATGGGGCAGAAAAGCGCTTTAGGGAGCTGCCACGCCCTTCCTGCGATCCGGCGAGATGATCCGCGCAGCTGCAGGAATGCGTTGGATCTGGAGGAAAGAGATGAAGCAGGATATCCCCTTCCCCCCTTCCCCTTCCTCCCTCCCCCCTTCTCCCCCTACTTTGCTCTCCTTCCCTTCCCTTTCCCCCCTTTTTTTCCCCCCCTCTTCCTCCTCCCCCGATCTTCCCTTCTATCCCCTTGAAACCTTACGACTGTTCGATAGTAGAGGTGCGAGGTGGGCGGCGTAATCTGTAATTGCTTCTGATTGAGATAAGAACTGGTCGTGTTTTTTTTTCGAATCTTCTGAAACATTGCGTCTATCATGGTGCTGGTTTTTAATGGTTGTTCTGTCTTCGGTTCCTCGGGTTGTCGTCCTTCCGAAGTCTTTACAATTTTTTTTATGGATGAATGGACCGATCTTATGAAATATCGCTTTTTCTAGGTGCTTAGTTCTTATTGGTTGCTTTTCTCCTCCCTGTCTATTATCTCCCCTCCCTCCCTTGCAATTTCCATTCAGTATTTCCCCGTTTGTCGATTTTCGTTTGACATCTTGTTGTTGGGATATCAAGGTTATTCGAAAGGATGGTATATGATTGTATCAACGCGTTGATGTATGTCACCAATGGTTTTTCCGTCGCCAAATTGTCATCCCCTTTTTTTTTCCAAGTTTTTTTTCGAATGTTTATCCCTCTCCCTGAATGGATGGTTCGATCTTCGCCCCCTTGCGATACGAAGCACCCCTACCCCCCTTCGCTGCAACTCGCCACTTGCACTGGCTTGGCCGAACTTCACCCGATAGAACGGCCTCGTGGTTACCCTCACCACAAGATGGACATACCAAGTGGTTTTACCTCGCCGCGTTGGAATATCGCCTCCCGCATCTTGCTTTCTGCTCACGGTGTGCCGATGTTTTTTGTCGGAGTAGCACGGACATGACGTGTCGTGCTCGTGCGAAGCGCATGTGACATACGCATGCTAACACACTCATGAGGACGTGTTTCCTCCATCACTGTCGGGGGGTGCCCCCCCCGTCCACACCGTGAAGCATTTTTGCATGGCTTATACGCCCCCGCGTGGAAACGAGGTGATGATTGTGGCTATGGGGTACGCCGAGGACGTCCGACGTTGGCGAGGGGATGGCTGGACGATATCGAAAAAAGGAGACGGCTGTGTGTTGTGCGGCTTATGGTGAAATGTGTTGTGAATTTGGGGGCAGATGGTGGGAACCTGCTTTGACATCTCTCTGTTGTCCGCTTTTGTGTGGTTCTGTCCCCCCCTCCCCTCTTCCTTCCTCCCTCTTGCTCGTGATCCTCACTACTTTCTCCCCCGATGATCTCCCCTACCTGCCTCCTAGTCGTTCTTCCCAATCCCGCTCTTTCCCTTGACCTCCCTCCTACCCCTTTCTTCTCTTCGGTTCTGTCTTTTTTTACATGCCCCCCTGTTTTTGGTAATGCACAGCCGCAGAGGCCTCCCAAGGAGTCCTTCCCCGGTGGCTGGTGGAACCAGCTGACGCATCGTTTTCCATGGCTTAAGGATTGTGCCTGGCCTGCGAAACCTACGCAAGCCTTGATGACATGTGCCAACCCTGGAGTCATGGATGTGATAAAAGATGCCTGGGACACCGGACGCTTTCCCCATTTTTTTTAGATGCTTTGTTTTAGTGATCTTGCCATTCTCGCAGGGGCCTGGGATCGTAGTAGGGAGGAATTCGATGATGGATTGAGGGTTTTATGTGAACGACTCAAGCTGAGGAAGCAGGAGTACGCCAGGGAGTGTAGGGAGTTGGGGGGAAGATCCGCAAAGGTTGAGCGGATTTTTCTCAGGATATGGGGCGTGGATGATTCACACCTGGAAGGACGGATTCCCGAAACACTAGGGCAGGCATCACCTACCATAAGAGATGCTCGGGTTACGAAATGCGACGATCTTGCGATCGAAGCTGAGGAGAGGGAGGAGATGGAGCGAGCGATTGCCGCCATTGCCAACACCATCAGGGACTCCCACCTCACGGACGGCCGGACGGATGACGGGACCTCGGAACGGGACAGATACACAACTTTCGCCCCCCTAGCATCCGCGTATTGGGTAGACACATCCACCCGGTTCCGACATGCGATCTGGAAGATGGAGACCTTTAACCACGTCGCACCGATCTCCATTAGGGCACTCCAATTCCTGGGCAACATCACGGACGCACAGGTCAGGGATTGCAGGACTCAAGTATTGAAGGGTAAGTTGAAGTTCTCCGGGAGAGTCCCCCCACTGGATCCCCAAGACCTTAAATTCCCGCCCATGCACGCCTTCGACCTGGACAAATGCGGTGAGACAAGTTCTGGGATGTGGCAGAAAGCGATTAGGTAGCAGGACAGATTGCATCTTAGGAACATGAGAAAGATATGGAGTGTGGGTAGGCCCTATCTCAAATGCAAATGCAAGAAGGAGAAGAACAGGGACTGTGGGGACACTCCTCTATGGTTCGACCACGCCCTTTGGTTCCTGCTCGTGCACCCAGACGTACTGTTCCCGAACATGTCCTCGATTAAAATCAGGACTTCGATGCTGATTCACTACCTCAGAACCACGTGGAGAGAAGGTATACTCGCCGCCATCGCTTTTCACTTTATCAGGGACTTGATGATGGGCTATATCAGAGAGCTGGAAAAGGACGCTACACTCGACACGAAAGGACTGCTGAAAGACGACCGCCTGTGGAATTACCCGATCCCGGTTGTACTCGCGCGGATCATGCTCCCCACACGGATCCCCGGAAAACCCACGAGATTCCCGCTCAGCTCTCCACGTGTGATGGCCCGGAAGAGAAACGCAGGAGTACAAATCCCGGGCCAGACCACACTTAACTTTCACAGGGTGGCACCCATACCTAGCGGTTCCCCTCCACCTCCTCCTCCTCCTCCGCCTCCCTCTTCCTCCTCTACCCCCCCTCCCCCTCCTCCACCCCCTCCCCCTCCTCCTCGACCGCCTCTGCGCAGACGCAACCCACGATGCTGTCCACCGGACTGCAGCAGATCAGCTGCGTTGATCACCTCCGGGCTTCGCTTGCCACGAACCCACCGTTGCCGGCAACAGTGAACCAGGCCCTCGCTTCCCCACTCCCACTGCAACCGATGATGGTAATCAGGGGACTCACTCCACCTTCAGTCATCCTCCTTTCGCCGGAAAACTCGGCACAATCAACGCTTACCCAGACTGGGAAGGGTAGGAAGAAGGGTACGCGGGGCACAGGCAACGCGAAGGCGGGCACCTCCGCCAACACGCGACCTGCACGTGCTTGACCCCTCAAAGTTTTTTTTCCCTTTTTCCTTTCCTTTCCCCCCCCCCTTTCTTTCCTCTCCTTGATCGTACCTTTGTCTCGGACGATCCCGCTATCCCATTACCCCTCTGAGATTCACTGTCCCACCCGGCACGACCCGTGTCCTGTGATTGTGGCTTTCGGAGCTCAGGACCCGAGCTGCAGCATCAATGCCCCTCGGCAGATGACCACATTGCCGACGGGCCGGAGGTCTTGGAGAAGGCAGAAATCGGATTGGGATGTCTTCCTACATCTGAACTATACCAGCAGGGTGATGGAACCACTTTCCATCAGGAAAATGGTCAATGAAATTATAGCAAGGATAGTCGGGGATGAGACAGCAACCTGGCTGGAACGCACGATGATTGACTGGGCTTATAACGCCAGCATCGCGTCCAGACTCTGCAAGTCCGCGTAGGTATTTTGCGACTTCGACATGGCGCAGTGGATGGAGGCCTATGATCCGGAGTTGTGCCCGTGCAGATTGCGCAGGTACGCGGACATGCGCAGCCCTGCGTCGCTAAATCTACTCCAGTGTCAGGGGCATACACATGTAATCACGCTTGACTTGTCCATCACGGATAACCCTCTACTGCAAGGTATCATTAACTCCGGGCTGAACCACATCCCGTGCATGGCACTGGATGTCGACGTGGCGGAGAACGAGGTGGGCGATTTCCTGGATAGGCCCATGACGAGGGTGTTGGAGCTACGAGAGCTCACGGCGTCCTCACAGTCGTTTTTGCGGAGGGTGATTTTGAAGAGGGCAAGAGCGAAGATGTCCAAGTACAGGGAGCAACACAGGCATGTGTCCGCGGAACCCTTCGAGCATCCTGCGGTTAAACGGGAACTGGAATTTCTCACTGGTCGCTTTCTCATTTGTCCTACCGACAAAGCACCCAACACTCATGCGTTTGTGTGTAAGAACTTCATTCGGAAGCTCGCCTTCCAAAGGCTGTCCGGACTCGGAGTTCGCGAGCATCACTGCCCCCCCTGCCGCAGTCATCGCACGGATACAAGGCGAGCTTTCAGGCTTTCCCTCGCTTCCAATAGCACCTCCGGCGCTCCCGTACCTGATGGCGGTTCTCAAGGCGCACAAGGGCGCATTCCGGTGGATCACGAACAGAGCCAGGATGATCATCTCCCCGACAGCGGACCTGTGTGCAAGGCTACTGCGGTTTCTTCTTCCCCTGGTGCAGACATTTTGTCAGGAGAGAAGCCTAGAGATGCAGGAGCAGTATGGCTTGAAGCCAAACCTGTGGTGGTCGATAGCCTCGGTGGGGGAATTCTGTGTGAACCTACCAGGAAGGATCTTCTCTGTCTTCACAGCGGACATCACCAAATGCTTCAAGACAATCCCCACGGACAACTCAGAGGATGGCCTACCAGCGGCGGTGAGATTCTACGTGCAGAGTGCGATGTGGGTGAAGAGGGAGAGGCGCTCGTGCCACGTCATTCAGGTCAGACTAGGGGAGGGCTACAAGTCCTGGCCTTTGTGGGTGGATGGCGATCAGGCCGAGGGAATGGGCACGATGTTGTTCAAGGAAGAGGACGTCTTCTGGCTTACTGGATAGTGCATCGCCAACAGCGTGCTGCGCATGGGGGATTATGTGCGGAGGCAGGTCAGGGGAATCCCCATGGGCCTGGCTTGCTCCCCAATCTGGTGTGATATATATTTTTTCAAGTATGAATATCACGCCATGATGAGGTTGGCGGATACTGGGGATGCCCATCTGATCCCATACTTCTCGGACACCTTCAGGTACATCGACGATCTGGGCGCGATCAATAACACCATCATCAAGAACTTTATTCGAAAAAAGGAGGACAGGGGGATGAACGACCCCTGCTGGATCTACCCTGATGAGTACATCGAACTGAAGGAGAATACGGAGGTTGTCGTGGACGGGTGCGGCCGCAGGGCCAACTTTCTCAGCATGACCATCGCAATCACTTCTCCGGAGACAGGCACATTCATCACCTTCAGACATGACAAGCGAGAAGGACTGGGGTTTGCCCCGTGCAGGTTCATAAAGTATAAGTCTAATAGGTGTGCCAAGCAGGCGCTACAGGTCATCACATCCCAGGTCGCGTAGATCTTACTACTATGCTCCGAGCCTAGTGATGCGGCCATGGAGATCAACAAGGTGGTGACCACGATGAGGGGCAACGGCTTCGGCAGGGATGCTTACTGGTGGGTGGTCAGGACGACTTTGCGGAACGCGTATCGCTACCAACCTGGCAAGGTCTCCGTAAAGGTCACAGGTTCAAATCCTGTAGGATGCTGAATTCTTCGGGAGAGTGGCCGAGTGGTTAAAAGCGACAGACTGTAAATCTGTTGAAGGTTATATTTCTACGTAGGTTCGAATCCTGCCTCTCCCACTTCGTGGCCTTCATACATTCATGAATTACACATAGTTAGGGAAGCTTTGTCCGATATGTATGGCTTCACTGACTAATCGTGCTTTCCTTGTGCGTGGTTGTGTTTGTGTATGTGCGTATGTGTGTTGGGTGTCCCGGGGACGACTGGCCGAGAGGGCCGGTTGTTCTCCGGGCAACCGCCCCCTCAGACCTGTTCATCCCCCGGAGGGAACGGGGAGGGACACACACTCACACACACACACACACACACACACACACACATATGATGGGAGAAGGAGCGACAGGGAACGACTTTACGGGCTCACAAGGCTGGGATGGTTCTACAGGTGGATTCCCCCCTTCCTTTCTCTCCATCCCTCATTCCCTCTCTCTGCTCCCTCGCTCGTACTTTCGCCTTCCCTTTCTGATATGTTTTCTTGCTTTTATCCTCCCCCCCTTTTTTTTTTCTCTTCCTTTTTTCTTCTTTCTTCCTCTTTTCGATCTTGCCTTTTTTTCTCCTTTTCCTCTTTTTCTTTTTCTCTCTTCTTCCCCCCCTTTTTTTCTTCCTCTTCTTCCCCGCTTTTTTTTCTTTTTTTCCTTTTTTGCTTTTTTCCTTTTTTTGTAACCCGGACCCGGCTCCATGAATAAGGAAAACCCCGGGCAGTGTAAAACCCAGCTAAACGATGGACTACGGAAGCAGCCCGCTCTCGGAATATGTCGAATAATAGGCGCGCAGTACAGTAGGTTGGCCAGAAATTGGTCTTGGTTTTCACGACCCTGACTCCCCGCCACTTCTTCCTTTTTTTTTTTTCTTTTTTTTTTTTTTTTTTTTTTTTCCTTTTTTTTTTTTTTTTTTTTTTTTTTTTTTTTTTTTTTTTTTTTTTTTTTTTTTTTTACATTCCTCTAGGCCCTCTTTTTAGCCGTAGGATAGACGTGTATGAATAGGTGGACGAGGGCGATAGCTTGCATCGAAAGGCAGCAATTCTCGGACGGACTCCGCGGCTATATCAGAACAGAACCCGGGCGCCCTATTCATCGATTCACCATACGGTTAATGGCTCTGGYGGCAAAACAGGGCGTCCAATTTCCGCATTCGCGAAAGSATTGGGTGAGGTGGCAGGCGACATGGATTTCTTCGCTGACTGGGACCTAGAGGAGGAGCAGCAGGAGGTGGAGGAAGTGGTAACGTTCCTGRCGGTCGRCACTTTCCCGGTTTTGCTTTCGTAACCCKRCGCCTGAGTACTCCGAGGYYTGGCGACATGCATGYCGATGCTAYCWGCCCTGTTGAACATGCTTTGCCCTGCCTACCCCCCTCTGCACCRGCGCGAAAYGTCGCGACCGTCCTCCTCCTCTTCCTCGCCCTTCTTCCCAACCTCGCCATAGCTGGCGCAATGCTAGCCGCATGTCTTTCCGAGGGAATCTTCCTCGGCTTATCGGCTAGGCGCTTTGCACTATTGATCGGTTGCACTATCTGCTTCGCAACCATCTTTCTCGCCAGCTGCTGCTGCCTCTTCTTTGTGCTAGGCGTCGGAGGTGGGCGCGGGTGCTAGCTAGACGTAGTGTACCACGAGGAGCGGCGCGATGGAGCATAGGAMTTTGACGGAGGCTTCGACRTGCGCCTTTTTGGCCTTCCTTTCGTTTCTYTCCTTTCTTTCCTTCCTCTACTTCATCTACTCCCTCCCCCAACCCCTCCCGCATGCCCCTCCCC